AAAATCCTCAAATGTACTTCTCAAGGAAAATGATACACTTTCCTTGGAAATTGGAATGGAATGATAATTATATGAGACAAAATTATAGCACAGCTGGTAGGTTCTTATCTTACCTTCTATAAAGGTTACTAACCATCCTGTACTAATGGCAATGTGTGGAGCTTACATTTCTTATTTTATGTTTTATGTACATTTTTTATTTACATATTCTAAAAAAACTCTTATTGAATAACACCTTCCAAAATAGTATAGCACATATGAATGTGTAAATATTCCATTATGAAATTCTTCAGTTCCTATTAGATTTAACAATAATAGGAAAACCTGAACAATTTCAAATGCATCAAAAAACTGATAAATTATAGAATTTTCAGGGTTAAAGTAAACTTTATTGACTTAGAGTTTTGGTATAATAATTGTCACAAAGTAGGACATGTAAGGATTATGTCTACCTGTTTTCAAAAAAATTTGTTCAGTGCTAGCAAAGGTAATTTTCTATTAATTTTTAAACCACTTCTTGGACATGACCACTAAATTTCTCAATAAGAATAGGTCCAATTAAATATCTCTTAGACTCTGAATTTCCATGGATAGTATAAAAAGGAATTTCAGAGTCATTCAGAACTATATTTTACCTAGCAAGTCTTCAATTGGAATTTAATATATTTTATATATTGCAGACAAGCTTCACATATGCATGGTACAAGGACTTTATATAAATGAAAGTCTAGGATTAATATTATAGGCCATGATTTTATTCTATAAGCTGTTTCCCAAAATGTATAAATGGGAATAGTACTCTACATAGTTCCCTGGCAGAAAACTCATAAAGATAAGTGAAATAATCTCTGTTAAGTATATTTGAAAATAAAAATCTGCTTCAAATTTCAAGATATTCTCAGTAAAATAGAGAAAAAAATGATAGTAAATTGAAAAATTAAGATAATAGTTAATGTTTGAATAAAGTTTCATGATCATTTTGGTTGAAAAAATTTGTTTTAATATTTGTGTTATGAGAGAAACTAGAGTTTATCCTTTAATATGCTTATTAAAAATATTTAAAATGAAAAAAAGCAAGTTTCTAAAACGAGGTTGATTTTATAAAAATCACAGAGAAATGAAGAGAATATGAATTGCACCTCTCTATTTTCATAATAATAATAAAGTTTGTCTTGCCATTTGAACACCTCAGAAGTAGTAAATGTCATAAAAACATTGAAAAAATGAAAACTAATGATGAAGAAAAAAGCCTGATAGAAGTTTGAATTTAAGAAATGTAAGCAAAAGCTACCTTGGGAAAAAGGTATCTTTCATATGGATATATAATAAAAATTAAGTCATGAATATACATTTTTAAGTGTAACCACAAATGAATATCAAGGGATCAATGATGACATTGTTTTAGAAACTGTACACATTAATATCTTAAAACAATCAATTCATAACTAAGTAGTCATAAACATATTTTTTTCTTGTGCAATGAGACAATAATTAGTGTGTTAAACCAGCTGTAATGGCATGAAGTCAAAGATCAGTGATAAAACATATCTGTGCTGAAAATGTAGCAGTCATAGGGATAGGGTAATTAAAACTTAGGCATCTGGATTTTATTCAGAAATATTACAAATGTATCTTTTATCACTGTGTAAATTGCAGTCAAACCAAGAAGACTATTTAAAATATTAATATTATATTTGTAGGTAAGTATGTATAGATTTCTTAATAAAGTAGACAACTAGAGTGATGAAAATAATTTGAGATCAAAGGTGGCAACAGGTAATTAGCAGTTACATTTTATAAATGACACACCATTCATTTGAACAAGAGTGGAACATGGTTTTCTGGTGGGAAATAGAGTACCACTCAAAAATTCAGGAGCTTGCAGAAGTTTAAATACAGTTGAACTCCAGAATCTATATCAATAGTATTGAAATTATGCTTTCAGACCAATAGATTTTCACAAGGTATAACAAGTTGTCCCTAAAAACCAGTGTATTTATACTTCATCCTATCCCTTAATTTCCATTATTTATTTTTATTTTTTATTTTGTGTACCTTAATCTAAATATATAGTGTCTTTAACTGAAAGCACATAAACAGTTGAAATTATAACATGGAGAATCATAAGGCATAGCAATAAAAATATTTTTAGCTACCATCCTTGCCTAGTAATAACCTTGGGCAAATTTCTTACTGTCCAATTTTATGTAATCTCAATTAAAGTTGCTTCTTTTTTTAATTTATTTTTTAACTAAGAATATATTTTTAAAAATTCTGACTCCTTCATAAATCTCTCCATGAAAACTTGACCTTTTTTATGGGTATCTAAGCACATTTGTGGCTAATCATTTTTTGCACACATGCAAAAATATGCATCCACACACAAACACACTCAATACCCCGCAATTACTAATTATTTAAAGAAAGATATTAGGAAAAATTTTTGATAACTCAGGTTTCCTGGTGCTCTTTGAAGGAAGTATCCTGCCTCCCCATTTTTTCTTGTTTCTTTTTTTTTTTTTTTTTGATTTTTAACAAATTCTTAAAACCAACTACACAAAATTCGGTACTTCATAACTTCATAACAAAATTTCTCAGTGATCTTGATCTGAAGTCTTGTCACCTAACTTTGTGTATATAATCATACCAACATTTCTTAATTATCACTTAAATTATTTTCAAAGAATATATTCAATCATCATTTGTGAATAGACACATTTGTAATAATAGAGAAGAGCTCAGACATTTTGAAATCTTTTAATTTCATTATTTCCCCCTTTTTGAAATACCATTCATGAATATATGTATGATAGGTTTTGCCCATAAAATATAATACCTATACATTAAAAGTGCCTATACAGAGGAAAATAATACTACTTATTTTAAAAAGCAAATATTTAAAATCTGGTCAAAGCTACATTTTGCCAATACTCTTTCTAAGCTATGGCAATGAGTAATCTTTGAGGTATACTTTAAGTTAGGCCTGACATGTCAGTCTCTTTTATTTATTTATTTATTTATTTATTTATTTATTTATTTATTTATTTATTTATTTATTTATGCTAGCACTGGGTACAGTCAGAAGTGCAGGAGGGTAAGAGAATTCACCAGAGTCAGAGCAGGTATCAGAACAGACAGAAGGACCGAAGTACACTGCTGAGGGGAGCAGCGGGCATGGCAGGAGAGGTCTGCACGCCATGTGGGACCCTTGCTGGCGGCCGGGGATCCAACTGGTGCTGTGGAGGCTGCGGGCAGCTTTGCAACCCAGGGTTCAACCCCTGAGCCACCGGGGAGGCCCATGTCAGTCTCTTTTCATTCTAAATGCAAACTCTTACTGCTACAGAGGTTTATTTCTTAAAATAACTACATTCAAGAGCTAAGTCAATGGCAAGTCAATGATCATTTTTTAGTTTTTCACAGAACAGTAAAAAAATATCAGGGTACAAAGCTGTGTATTTTATACTTTCGTCATTGCCAGATTTCCATTTTTATTTGGGTTGTGAGTGAAACCCCGTTCATCTAAGAATTTTTTGAGTAATATAAATAATTTGGAATAAATATATGCTTATAAGTTAACTTTTTTTAAGATTTATTTATTTATGCATACAAGAGCTGGATATAGGCCAGAGGTATGCGTGTGGAGGGGAGGGAGTGGTTGAGAGGATTCACCAGAGACAGTGGGAAGCAGAACAGATGGATCTACTGAAATACACTGCTGAGAGGAGCAGTGGGTAGCAGGCAAGACAAGAGAGGTCTGCTGAGCCATGTGGGTCACCTCCCTGACTGGGCATCGAACTCATGCTGCAGTGGCTGTGGATAGCTTCATAGTGCTAAGATTTAACCCCTTGTGCCACCAGGGAGACCCCTGTATATTAACTTTAAAACTTTTTTTTCAAATAATTTTTTTTAAAGCATTGAGGAAAAGATCTCTGAATTATTTTAACCTTTGTTTACTCTTTCTTCTTAGAAGATCATAGATAACCATTCCACCATTGCTTGAGTCTGCACATGCATGTACACTCATTCACACCATATTTTTGAATAAATAAGTATTAATTTACACCTAGAGAATAAAAATAACAATTTAAAATGCCCAAGGATACTCCATAATTCTCTAAAGTGCATTTAAGAATATCTTTTCTTGGCAAATTTTGACAACAAATAAGTCAACATAAAAGTGAAGAAATTTAGACTCTTTAATATGAAAAGAACTTAACTTTTTATAAGGTAGCTCACTATCATGTTGTAATCCCTCTAAATTTTTAACACAGTTTTCTGTTATGTTCTAGTCTACATTTTTATAGGTGCATACACATATGCATATGTTTGTATATGTATATATGCATATACATATATTTAGGATTTACATTTATAAATAATTCAGCATTTGTAAACACCCCATTTCATCACTGATCCCAAAATTGTGTATCTTTTTCACTTTGCTGTTATCAAATTAGGAATACCATTATTAATATGTGAAATAATTCAAGTTTAAAAAAAATTAAGTAACTGTTTGCAATTACATGTGGTTCTGTCCTCCAATACACCTGTATCCACAATGAATATGAAAAGAGAATATTCCAGTCATGTTATGGTCATTATATGGTTCCAACAGACAGAAAAGGTGACTTCATCTCAACATAAGTAGTATTCTACTTCCATGTATGATATGGTTTAATCTTAATGGAACAACAAAAACTGGGACATGCTAAACGTAAACAGATACTTCAATCTTACAACTTTCTGGTTTAAATCAGGACCACCATTAAAGCCTTGGAGGTATGAATGCTTAACAGAGGATTGATGTGCTACATGTATATTTTATTGGAAATCATCATGGGATCACTATGGGAATTGGTTTCATCCTACTCTTCTGTTAAGGTATAACCAGTGAACTAACTGGTAAAATGTTCACAAATGGAAAAAAAAAAAGGAATGCTGACAGTAATACAGATAGGTGGGACATCACATAGGCGTGAACGTGGGAGGGGAACACTAACCATATTAGGCTTGGATGGGCAACAGCGCACAGGGAAGAAGCCCTCCCACAGCCACATTCGCAGCAACTGAAAAGCAAACAAGAGAGCCCAAGATAAGGAAGAGATCCTACTCCCTCAAAATAGTATAAGAAACTATGAATTTAGACAGGTGTCTGCTTTGCTTTCAAAATCAAAAATCCCTAAATCCATACAATTAATGTTTTTCCACAATGCCTTTAAATAAAGAAGCATTTTTATGGATTGAAGATATAAAGAGCTACATTGAATAGCTATTTTTATTCTATTTAAAATGCTTATTCAGAAGGAAATATAATGAGCTAATGCATTTGATTATGTAATTAATCTAGACATACAAATAAAGATGTAAGCCCATTTAAATATATATTTTTCTCAGAAAGTTGCAATATTTATATTCGGAAGACATTCTCAATAATTCTTTAAATATGTTTTGCATTGAAACTACAAATTTAGGAGGAGAATAATGGCTTGTTTCGATTTACTGATTCTTATGTCAGTGGCATTATTTATCATAGAATATTGACTATGTTATGCTTACGTGACATGACTTCTTCAATTACTTAAGGAAGACTACAGTTTAAATTAGCATGTTCATAGTTAAAAATGCATTTTAAATATATATTGCAGAGCTATTGTTATGTAAAAAATCACACTATATATATTATACAAGCATTTTTCTGGATATTGCAACCTGAAGATTCTTTTATGTTTTCTATATATTAGTAGTAAAAAAAAATTCCAGAAATTACCAAGTAAATTGTATTTTAAAGTGATAGAAACCATATAAATTGATGGTAGAATATAACATAAAAGTATCTCATGCTTCAATGCATCTTCCATTTTTTTATGAATAGCAATTACATTATTTCAAAAGAACTATGGAATGAGCTCAGTAATGATACCATATACCAGCAAGCCAGGGCTTTTGTCCAAAATCTGTTTAATTACTTAAAATGTATCTATTTTATTTTATATCAAACAAGGAGAGGAAATTAAGATACACACATCTAACAAATTTTGAAATGCTAGTGAAGGCAGACAAATATTTCCAAATTAAATTCCAATGGATCTTTTTCAAAGGAAAGGTAGGCAATGCTCCATATATTTTCTTTGGAAACTGATGATGCTAAAATTTTTAGTACTACAGTGTCTGAATAATCAGTCACTAAAATAGGATACTAGTAAAATAAAATGGGCTACTATAACATTTATTTCCAGTATGAATATTCATTGTAATATATTTTAAAGAATATGCCAAATAATTATTTTCACTGAATAGATAATGAAAGACAAAACTGTAGTACAAATATTTAAAGAGTAGGTAAAACACCTGTAACATACTTAAATATTTCTTTAAAATTACTTTTATGTCTTAATGTCTTAAATAGTTACTGAATTCTTACATAAATTAGCTTTCCTCTATTTCTGTTTGTATCATCGCTCAATTAGGGGTTGGAAAACTACAACCCATGGGCCAAATCTAGTCTAACACTTATTTTCTAACAGTATTGTTGAAACACAGCCATAATCATCACTTGTTTTTTTGTTTTTTTGTTTTTTTATGGCTTCTTTAATGTTATTATAGCAGAGTTGAGTAATTGTGAATGAATGTATGTCCTGCAAAGCCTATATTTATTATCTGACCACTTTAAAAAAAGTTTGCTTTCCTCTTTTCTTATATTGTAGGTTTCTTGAGATGAGGATACTTCCTTGATTTATTTTATTCTTAGTAGTTTAAACAAAAGGAATAACACATTAAAAACTGTCAATGTATTACTGTAACTGTTATTAATAGTACAAATTATCTTAATTATTTATTTTTATTAATATTTTTATTAAAGTAACATTGGTTTACAATACTGTATATGATTCAGAAATATTTTAATTAAATTTAATTAAAATATGAAATCACATAAAATAAAATACTTGTATTTCTATTTCTTGAGTCATTGCTTTAGATTTTGTAGTGATACTTCCTCTGACTTGTTCTAAGATGGCATAAGTAAATTACCTTCGATAACTTAAATTCTTTATGCTTCAATTTGATAGTTATAAAATTAAAACAAAAGCAGCTCTCTTTCCAAGATCATTCACCTGTGACTATGCAGGTGCCTCTCTTTTTCCTAATAAACCTGTATTAGATTAGATTTGCCACATCATATATTTTGGGATAAAAGTGATAGCTATTATTCTTAGTAATATAATCAAAGTAATAGAATAGATTCTCATTATCTCAGAGGAATTTATTCTTTTCATGATCTATATAATATTACCATATTAACTATTTGCATTTATAACTAAATAACTAATTACATTCAGAAAAAATCATGTAAATGCAGAATGGCCAGTGTACCTAAAAAATTATTTCTGCAAAGTACATTTTTAATGATTTAGTAAGTAGAGAAGAGTATATATTAATATGTTGTTAAGAAATTAAAACTGAATTTCCTTTTCTATGACTATATGAAAGGGAAAAGTAATCCCCCAAATAACTCTTTCAACTCTTTTTAAGTAAAATCTGATGCTGTCCCAGTAACATTCTGACACCAGGTGGTATAAGGAACATGTTATTTTTTTTAATCAATAAAATGTTTGAAGAAGTATAGGTTGAAAATGCTTCCAAACCTCAGTGATAATTTGGAAATAGAAACGAAAATGTACTAGAAATAGCAACCATCTAATTGACATGAGCTATATTTCAACACTCGCTACACCTGCATTTCTATCTGCTTTTAACACCTGGAAGTCTGTCAGTAAATGCATGTAGCTATAACAAGATCATTATTATCCAAATTTAAAATAGTTTAGCCCTTGCAGGCTTAATATCAAAAAACTGTTGGCCCTTGTTTTAACAAGATATTGGATTTGTCCTTTAGAAGATTAAAATATGATAACAGAAGCTTTCCAGACACAAAGAAGATTCAAACAAAATTATTTTAGCCAGGACTTATACAGAGTTGATCAATATATGTATAAAGTGTGTCAATGTAAGTTAAATAACCTCGGTCCAACTGAAACAAGGTGATTATACCTCTGGGGAAGAAATTCTCAAAGATACTTGATCAGAGAAGCAAGACTAAAGGTTGGATAAATGATGACAAATTAATAAGCAAGAGATCATACAAATGGATAAGAATAACATTGAGCTTTCAATAGATAAGAGATAAAAGCAGAAAGAGTATTTTCATAAAAGAAATATTTTACATAGAACATATTTTCAACTTACTGATTAAAGACAAGGCTGTAAAATTTACACATTTTAAATAAAACTCCAAATTACTGTGCTCAGTGCTGAAGAAGACAGAGCGGAATGTGTGTCCTCAGCCTTGGCAGACCACATTGAATAACGGTGTAAATACTTTATAAAACAATATTCCAAATCCTATTTAAAGGTGACTGTCCTCACCTTTAACACCATTGTGTAGAAAAATTGTTAAGATCAAACAAAGCATGGTCTTGGATGTGTCCATTACTAAATGCACAGCTTTGTGTAAACTCAGCATTGATGTAGGTGAAATAATAGACACTATACCACATTAGGTTGCTTTGAAGAATGAGTTTGATAATACATGTAAGCTCTCTGCATTGTCCTGGGTTCACAGTCAGTACTTTAGAAGTTTTTTAACTGTTAAAATTATAATAATGTGGTCTTAGGGCAAAAGGTGGAGTATAGATAATATGAATGAGGATGGCCATTGATTTTAAACTAAATGACTCATGTATATTTTATAGTAAATAAAATATGTTTATGGAGTCATAATGCAATGAAAATTAATACGATATAATGTTATTCTTTTAAATTAGGTAAAAGCTAGTGTGCAGAGAAATAAAATAATTGCTAAAATTTATACCAACCCTCTATGAACTATTGTTTATGTTACATTAGCTAGCATTACAGAACAATTTTAGTTTTCTCTGATTTCATTTTTGGTGATTATCCTGAGTAACTCTGAGAAGAATGCCAGCTCTACAACACATCCTCGGATTGACATGCACAATCCAATCACTAACCCCAAGCTGTAGTTTAGACAAACTGGAATATTCATTATTATTACAGTTCTGTTTTGTTTTTTAACCAGATCGCTGCTTCATTCTAGTTTCTTATTCCTTCTCAAAGATTACTGGTGTCTCACTATTACTTGCTAGGATATTCTGCCAAATACTGACCTACTGAGCACAAGCCACTGGTAGTTAAGATTTGAAACATTAGTAGATCTCTCAGCCTTACCTGATCAAGTTCCAAGTCTGCCACTCTCATATCTTGCTTTATTGTGAATAAATAATATGTCTGCCCCTTATTCTAATACAGATCTCCTAAAAGCCTTGTAAATAGAGGGGCAAAAAGATCCTTTTGTTCTAATATTTAGTCTTTGATGCCATGTCCTAACAAAAGCTTCTAATTTCCTTGTAACTTTCTGTGACATGAGCAATGGAAGTTTCTTGTGTTCTAATATACGGTCTTTAATCCAGGTTGACAACCAAAGCTCCTATATCTTTTGAAATGGCTTGGGTCATAGGTGATCTTGTTCCAATGAAGTGACCCCTGAATAGGGGCTTTTCTGAAAAGAATTTCTGGGACTTAGGAATATTACACTAATAAAAGTAAAAAGAAAATTGGAGGAGAATTGTCTTTAGACAACAATTCAATTGGTTTATTTCTGAAACTATAATAATGAATCACCACACTTCCTTAATTATTCCAATGACCTAAAGATCATTATAAAACAGGCTTTTATTTCACAGGTAAAGGCATGTATGTAGCAACTAGCAAATGGTATTGATATGTTTGATTCAGTTTGTTTATTACACTCTGTATTTGGGAACTCCATTATTTCACTAAATATTAACCATCTTTTCTGTGAGTTTTTGTTGCAAGAGTAAACATAATCATTCTCATTATTAGCAAACATTTACTGAGAAATGATGGGCAATGCTTTAAGGATAAGTAATTATGTAAAAAATCACTTTTTGTTCACATTATGCAATGATTTTAAACCTGACTACAGATTGGAGACACCTGGGGAGCTTAGGAAAAAAAAAAAACAAAA